CCTTTCCTCCTTTTTAAGAAAAACCTTTTAAATGGTTTTTATCTTTAGGATGGATAAATACTTTTTCCTCTCTCCTTAGGTGTTAAGTGACAAACTTTTGGTAGCCCCACATGGCCCTTATATTGTGCATTGCTTCCCTTTGTGGTTTCTGTTGCCCCATTTTTAGGCAGCTCCCTCTCTAGTGTGTCCCAGCTGACCTCTTTGGGGTTGGGGGTGTAAAGCAACTGATGCAAATGACAATAGAGATGACAAGCGAGGTGACATCATATTCTCTGTGAGGTTGGGAAAGTCTAGTGACTGTCTAGGTGTTGCCCACTGACTCCGGGGGTAATCAGCTTGCTAGTCTCCCCATCCTACTTTGCTAACCCTGCCTTAAAAGTGGTTTCCACTTCTCCCCAGTAGGTCAGTCAGCTTGAGCAAGTCGTGAGTGTGGTCAGCTTCTCTCTGACACTATTTCCTTTGGGCAGCGATAGTGTTACAGAGCATGGGCCTTCTGCCAACCTGGGTCAGCTTGCAGACCATCTCTTCATCCGGATTCTTTTGCATTCATGCCAGAAAAATATCAAACATGTTGCTCATTGTTATAGACAGGCATGAGTTTATTAGAAGGGATAGAAAAGGGGAGAAAGGGACACTTGAGGGTGAGGGGGTCATCTCTGAGAGAAGAGGGACAGAGCCCCCCCCTCCTGCCCTCAAGACCAGTAGGGTATTTCTTTTTCCTTAATGCATAGTTACTGTAGTAAATGGCTGCAGGTTCCGTTGGGGGAGGCGTGAGGGAAGCTTTTTCATGTGGATAGTTCTGATTATTATTTCTTTTCATGAAGGTGTCCTAGGTTTGCGAGTGACCTGAGTGTAGAAATTGGGTGAAAGGCTGTGACTTTTCACTGTGACTCAAATCAGGTTTTTGGCTATCAGCATTGAGACTTTTACTTAGATAAATTATTCAAGTACACAGGTTAGCAAACAAAAGACCCCAAAGAAGACTTACTCCCCCACCCCCACTTACAGAACAGTAATTCATACTCTGATTTTCACTTGAAAAACTAGGTGACACTGAATTGACTCTGGATGTAATTTAACCTGTTCAATTAAATTTTGTGTTTGATTTTCAATGATTATAAACAGTCTAGTAGCAACTGAAAATTAGCTTTAATAGCTGTCTTGGAAGCTGTTTGATTGTCAGACCTTAAATTGAACTGCAAGTCAGAAGATCTGAGCTTGTTATATTCTCACAAGTCTGCTCAGAGGAATCCATCTCTTACCACAAAATCTTGTAATTATGTAGTTAGTTCTGTAATGGTTAAGGATAGCATTTACTTGGAGAACTTTTTTTTTTTCCTCTTGATATTGGGGATTAAACCTAGAGGTGCTTTATCACTGAGTCATATCTCCAGCCTTTTTTACTTTTAAACTTTTTTATCTTGAGACGGTCTCACTAAGTTGCTTAGAGCCTCACTAAGTTGCTGAGGCTGGCCTCAAGCTTGCGATCCTCCTATCTCAGCCTCCAGAGCCATGGGATTATAGGCCTGAGCCATTCTGCCTGGCTTTGTTTGTTTGTTTGTTTGTTTTTAGTATCAGGGGTGTTTAACCACTGAGCCACATCCCAAGCCCTTTTTAATTTTTTTTTATTTGAGACAGGGGCTCTCTAAGTTGCTGAGACAGGCTTTAAACTTGCCATCTTTTTGCCTCAGCCTCCTGAGTTGTTGGGATTACAGGCATGCACCACTGCACCTGGCTATTTACTTGGATTTCTAAGGCAAGTTCTTTATCACAGTCTACCACAGACAGTACCTTGGTTGATATGATCCTGCCAAATGCTTTTTTGGGCGGTACCGGGGATTAAACTCAGGGACACTCAACCACTGAGCCACATCCCTGGCCCTGTTTTGTAACTTATTAATTTTTTAAATTTTGTAACTTATTTAGAGAAGGGTTTCACTGAGTTGCTTAGTGCCTCGCTTTTGTTGAGGCTGTCTTTAAACTTGTGATCCTCCTGTTTCAGCCTCCCAAGCTGCTGGGATTATAGGCATGTGCCACCATGCCTGGCTCTGCCAAATGCCTTTTCTGTTTTAAGAAACCAGCTCTAGGGCTGGGGTTGAAGCTCAGTGGTAGAGCCCTTGCCTAGCATGTGTGAGGCACTGGGTTTGATCCTCAGTACCACATAAAAATAAATAAATAAACTAAAGGTATTGAATCCATCTATGATGAAAAAAAGGAAGAAGAAACCCAGTCCTAACCAGATATGGTGGTGCACATCTGTAATCCCAGTGACTTGGGAGGCTGAGGCAGGAGGATTTAAAGTCCAAGGCCAACCTCAGGAATATAGAGAGGCACTAAGCCACTTAGTGAGATCCTGCCTCAAAAACTAAAAAATGGCAGGGAATACAGCTCAGTGGTAAAGTACAAAGCACCCCTGGGTTAAATCCCTAGTACCAGAAAGAAAGAGAGACAGACAGACACAGAGGGAGAGTAAGGGAGAGAGGGAAGAGAAATGAAGAAAAGAAGAAACCAGCTATATGGTCAGGCCCAAATGCTTGACTGACCACTTCCAAATTCTGATCATTGGATGTCCATCTTTGGCAACATTGTATCAGTTCTGTAGGAGGAGGGTCCTGTGAGGAGACAAAAAATGTCACCTTGATTTATTAGGAAATATAAAATGAACTCTAATAACATATATCCTCGAGTTTCTAAAGATGGCCATACTGGTAAGGAGCCTTTTCCACAATGCTGGAAATGGTGTCATTGCAGCCCACTGGCAGGTGAAGTTTGGTGGGTTGCCTGGGCCAAGGTAGGCAGCAGCCCTCTGTGATGCACACAAGCCCTGGCTGTTGGACTCGCAGACCAACCAAGGGAATCAGGGTGCAAGGGCACTTCAGGAGGTCATGGGAATGTTAGATGAGCTGGGACTGATACGTGAGGGCACAGGACACAATGTCTGTGTTCCTACCATTCGCACTTTCTACCCTTGCACTTTCGAGTAATTTAATACATTTCCTGAAAACTGAGATTTACATTGTCATTGACAGTTATTTAGGTATAATCTAGAGGATAGAACCCAGGGCCTCTCATGTGCTAAGCCAGTTCTCTACCTTTGAGCTACACCTGCTGCCCTTATAATCTAGGTATACTTTAGCAGTGTTGAGAAGGATCTCAGTTGTTTGTCCAACAGTTATTGGATGCCTTGCATGACTTAGGTGCTATGCCAGGTCAAGGGGGACATTGGTGTCCAAAGGGGATACAGTGCTGTACTATGAGATGCAAAAACTCTCCAAAGGAAAGGTGATTGCTATGTCACATGACATCATCCAGTAACATTCTTAGAGAAATAGAGTTCATTATGATGCTAGATTTTTTTTCCCTCAAAAATATTAAAGTTCAATGTGTATCCACCAAATAATTTTGTTACAAGATATATCAAAGTTCTTTGCAGACATCAGAAATAGACATGAACATCATTCCAGTGGGAGATTTTAATATTTTCTCCCAAAATGTTTCTTTAAACAATAGAGAAATGTCAGGATGTACATTTGAGATAGATGAGCACAGCACCTACTGTACATATACTGGATGTATGCAGCATGCAGAAACTGAGAGCACAGGAGATGATGTGTGAGAATGGACTGGAAGGTGCAAGAGGGTCTTCTAGGGAGATGAACATGTTCTGTATCTTGTAGGCTTTTGATTACTCAAATGTATGCAGTGGTCAAAGTTCACCCACTGAATGTGTGTTTGCTTATATATTAATCTCAATTTTTAAAAGGTCAACTATTCTTTGGAGTGCCATCAGACTACACATATTTGGGCCTGTTTAGCCTAAGGATCTCCAGGTCGAGACTTGTGGTGGTTGGTACAGTTTATACTAGGAATCTGGGTAGGTGGTCTTTGTAATCCAGTGTCATTTCAGAGTTTCTGTCTTATAGAACAAGCTTTGGATAATTTTTGTGAGGTTGAATTTGGTTCTTAGATAATGAACTATGCAAACTTCATTATTTGTCATCATTTGAATACCACGTAAGTCAGTATGTGGGTTAATATTCTGTGCTTGACTTACTCATGATTGTATTTTTATTAAAATTAAATGAAATTTTAGGGGCTGGGGATGTGGCTCAAGCGGTAGCACACTTGTCTGGCATGCGTGCGGCCCGGGTTCGATCCTCAGCACCACATACAAACAAAGATGATGTGTCCGCCGAAAACTAAAAAAAATAAATAAATGTTAAAAAAAAAAAAAAAAAAGAAATTTTAAAATACGGTTCTTTAGTCCTAGTTTCATATGAAGTGGTCAGTAGTGACACATGTGACTAGTGATCATTGTTTCACAAGGACATGTCTAAACTGACTTCTGGTTACGTTGAGAATACATGTTGAGCATTCCTAATCCAAAAACCTGAAATCCAAAACTTTGTGAGCATATGGCTGAACCCAGCCCCCCACAATTCTGAAATCTGAAATACTTCTGGCTCCAGATATTTAGATAAGGAATACTCAACCTCTAACAACAGCTGTAATAGATCTGGTTTCAGAGACAAACGCAATTGCATTCAAGTCCTCATTCACTACTTCCTAACTGGATAATACTGGACATTACCAGCATTCTCTAAATCTAAGTTTTTCAGCATTCAATAGAGATGATAAGGCCAGATACAGTGGCACACACCTGCCATCCCAGCAATTTGGGAGGCAAAGGCAGGACGATTGCAAGTCCACGGACAGTATGGGCAATTTAGCAAGACCCTGTCTCAAAATAAAATTTAAAGTTAAAAGGGCTTGGGGTGTGGCTTAGTGGTAGAGTGCTCCTGGGTTCAATCCTCAGTACCAAAATTGGGGAAGGTAATATTATCTACAGGATTGTTAATGATAAGTGATCGTTTTTTTAAATTTTTTTTTTTTTTAAGTTGTAGATGGACACAATACCTTTATTTTGTTGATTTCTTTTTAGGCAGTGCTGAGGATCGAACCCGGTGCCTCACCATGCTAGGTGAATGCTCTACTACTGAAGCACAACCCCAGCCCAATGGTAAGTGATCTTATATACATAAAGCTGCTATTATAACTTCTGAGGTCTAGTCTTTAATAAATAGCAATTGATGTTACTAATACTATTGTAATAGATTTTTTTCAGTCTTTCACATATGCCATCTGCAAAGAGAGCTAATGTTTAATTATTAATAATTAATATTTGTTGATTGATGATGATGTGAACAGGACTAAGTTAACCCTGAATAAAGAGGAGTGAAGATGGCCACTGTTGGTGTAGCTTCATAGCTGTCCTGCAGTGTTCTCTGAATCAAGGAAAGAATCATTCAGGCACATAACACCACCAGTGTCACAAGATGGCAGCCATTGATTTGTCCCATGGTAAGTCCTACTGATGATCTTGTTCAGAGACTCTCCTTCAGGTTCTCCCTGTATGGAGTCCAGTGCTCTCTCAGGAAATGTAGTGGACCAGGGAATCCTATGTTTTCAGTCAACCCCCCTGGTGTATATATTCTGGGAAGAAATGCTGTAGAAGCTTCTTCATGATTTAAAAAAAAAATTTATTTTTCAGTTGTAATTGGACACAATACCTTTCTTTTATTTATTTATTTTTATGTGGTGCTGAGGATTGAACCCAGGGCCTTGCACATGCTAGGCAAGGGCTCTACTGCCCCAGTCCCATGATTTTTTTTTAATTGGTACATTATAGTTGTACATAATGGTGGGATTTGTTCTTACATCTTAGTGCATGCACACAATATAACAATACAGTTTGGCCAGTATCACTCCCTGGCACTTCCCCCCCTCGCTCCCCTCCTCCCACTCTTTCATGAGTTTTATTGCTATGGGCAAATAGTCAATCTCTCAAGGCTATAGCTTTCCTTATGTATAATGAGACTACTATCCTTTTCCTGTTTGGGCAGCATGGCATATGGTCTCCTTTTCTGGCTCTATGTGAGGCAGACTGCTGGCCTCATACAGGAGTAGTGTGTACTTAATGTCAAGTGTGCAGGGTTACGTGGAAATTTCAAACTAGGATGGAATGACTTCTAGACATGTAAATTGTGGGAATTATGGGCAGCTCTGAGTTCTCATGCAGTGTTAGCTTTTCATTGCTATAATCAAAATACCTAGCAGGAACAATTTAGAGGAAGAAAAGTTTATTTTGGGCTCACGGTTTCAGAGTTAATCCATGGTTGGCTGGCTGACTGCATTGCTGTGGGTGCAAGATATGGCAGAACTCCATGGTCAAAGAGTGTGGTGGAGAAAGTGGCTTAGCTCATGGCAACCAGGAAGCAGAGAGTGTGCAGGGAGCTAGGGACAAGCTGTAATCCCCAAGGGCATGCCCCTCACCTTCAAGAGACCTATTTCCTCTGTCCATGCTCCACCTGCTTACAGCCATACCTAATTGTTTATTTAAATTATTAATCTATCAAATGGACTAATCTGATAATTTCACCCCTGAACATTGCCACAATTACCTAACACATGAGCCTCTCAGGGGATACCTCATATGTAAACCACAACACATACCTTATTTCTTTTCCCTGAGGTCTTTTGTAGAGGGACCCAGTTTGCCTTCATGAAGAAAAGACAGAAGCAGAAAGGAAGATGACTGTCTGCCTGCCAAACTGTATGCAGAGCATGTATCCTTGTACAAAATCCTTGTACAAAATCTTGAACATGCGGCTAACAAGGTGACATGTTTTCTTCTACTCATAATCATCTTCAGAACTTCTTATTTTTTGAGGTGGGTTCTGAGAGGTGTTTCTCCCTCTGGAATTTTTTGTGTGTGACATGTTGTCTAAGCTGATCTCAAGCATCTGGGCTTGAGCAATTCTTCCATTTCAGCCTCCTGAGTAATTGAGACCACAGGTATATACCACCATGCCTGACTTCCAGAACTTCTTAAAGCAAATAAAGCACCGCTCAATGACTTAAGTCCCTAGTTGAATTTCCCCAGGGAGTAGAGCCACTTATTGGCATGAAATCACCCTAGTATTTCATGAAATCACATGAAATACTAGGAAGACTAGTATTTCATGTGTTACTAATTAATGTTCCCTTATGGTGCTGACTACATGTTTCATATTTTGCTGAGTGCTCTGACAATGATAAGCGAGATGAAAGTGTTGTTTATCTAATATTTACATGGTACTCAAGAGTGTGCTACAGTAGAGGGAAATAAGATGAGCACCTACTCTTGTGTTGAGAGAAGATCACATATAAGAAGTGCCATTCAAGCCATATAACTAGAGGAGATGGACAGTGAGTGAGTGTGCATAGAGAGAAGAATTCCTAGCATCATTGAACCCTGGGGTAGACAGTGAGAGACCTCAGAACTCTTTTTAGGCTTTGGTCTCATTTCCTCATTTTCCAGTGGCCATTGGTGGATGTGTTACTTGGCTCAAACCAGCATGTGTGTGATGGTTTAGGACTTGGTGACCTTTGATGATGTGGCTGTGCACTTCACCCAGGAGGAGTGGATTTTACTGGACCCAACTCAGAGAAACCTGTACAAAGACGTGATGCTGGAGAACTATGAGAACCTGACCATAGTAGGTAGGACTACCATAATTCTGTGTAGCCTCCTAGAAAATATATTTTGTATGTACTTACTGTGTTGCAGTATCAATGAAGTCAACTCTGAATATAGTAGGAAATAATAGAGACACAGCCTTTATCATAATAGCTTTTAATCTGTGTGGTGGTTCTCAAAATGTGGCCTAACATACATTACCTCAGTTTCCACCTTTCATATACTCAGAAACACAGTTAGGGCCCTGTCATATGTGTCCAAGAAATTCTCCAGGTGACTCTTACACGCTGTAAGGTTTAAGGATCACAGGCGTACTACCTGGGAGTGTGGCTCAGCCTAGCATGCACAAGGCCCTGAGTTCCATCCCTACTACTGCAAAAAAAAAAACAAAAACAAAAACAAACAAAAAAACAAAAACAAAAAACAAAACAACAACAACAACAACAACAAAAACAAAACAAAAAACAAAACCAATCAGGTGTGATTTTCATTCCCTGTGAGAATGAAGATCACTGTTTCACTCTATTTCCTATTTGGATTAAAAAAAAAAAAAAGAAGGTCTTAGTGCTTTGTAAATGTGAACATAAGCCTGAATTTGGAATTTTAGGGGTCAGAAACAACTAATTTTTATGGGACACAGGCAGAGAAGATACTTGTATTTTTAAACTTTTTGAAATAATTTCACTGCTTTCATTAGAGCTGTGGTTCCTGAATCATGAGAAGGTTTATCATCTCTTCCATTAGCTTTTTCCATGAATATGTCTTTCCCTAGGTACAGAATGTCAGCTCCTCAAACCCAGCCTGATCTCTTGGTTGGAGCAGGAAGAGTCAAAGATAGTGAAAGGAGGGGTTCTCCAAGGTAAGTGTTCATGGACAATACTCCTGGTCAGTAAATTCACTATAAGTATAAAGAAGAAACTTTTAAAGATGCACTTGAGGGCTGGGGATGTGGCTCAAGCGGTAGCACGCTTGCCTGGCATGCATGCGGTCCGGGTTCGATCCTCAGCACCACATACAAACAAAGATGTTGTGTCCGCCGAAAACTAAAAAAAATAAATAAATATTAAAATTCTCTCTCTCTCTCTCTCTCTCTCCCCCCCTCCCTCTCTCTTTAAAAAAAAAAAAAAGATGCACTTGATCTCAGAAGCATCAGATCATTTTTATCAGAAGTTAAGAAATCTTCAACCTTCTATACTCTTTTACTCTCTGCCAACTTAGACTTTTCTGTAATCTCACAATATAACCTGTTGCATTTCTTCATTGTTTTGATGTATACTTCTTTATGTTTGTCCCCTTCCAAGATAAATGTTCTTTGTGTTCACCACCAATTTTAACTTTCATAGGATCAATTGGTAATAAATCATATAAAATTTTGATGCCATGTCCTTATCTTTGCCAGATTTTTGACATAGTGAAAATTGTGAAATCTTTTTTTTTTTGCTTTATTATGTTTAATTTGGAAATAAGTGCAAATGATCTCTACCATTTTCACCTCCTATCTATCATTTCTGTGTCCAGACCCTTATATTTCTTTTTCTCTTACTTTAGAATGGAAAATGGGACTTAAAATCAAAGGGGCTTCACTTCAGCAGAATTTTTTGAGGGAACAGATCTCCAGTGAGATACTTAGGGTAAGACTAACAAGGGGGTATTTCTAATTTTCTATATTTAAAGAAGATTGGGAATTCCATTATAGAAAATCAGAACAAGAGAGATTTGAGAGAAGTAGCATTGACCTAAGAAGGAGCAATGGCTCTAGAGGCAAAATAGGAATATGAATTTGGGGGTGCCCCAAACCTAACATGAAACTTGTTGCTCCCAAGTTCCCACAAGTACACATTTCCAGATATGTAACTAGATAGTTTTTAAAAGGTTGTCACTAAACTGTAGAGGTCTTTTCAAGTTTAGAATAGATGGCAGAGTATTCTGGCAAAGTAATCCCAGCAAGAGACCAAGGCAGGAGGATCACAAGTTTGAGGTCAGCCTTGGAAATTTAGTAAGATTCTGTCTCAAAGAATTAGAAGGGTTAGGAATATAGCTCAGTGGTAGAGCACAGGTTTAATTCCCAATACCATGGGGAGGTGGAGAGGAAAAAGAAAATAAAAATAAATCAATAAGCCAGAAGTGGTGTTCACTTATAGTTCCAGCTACTCAGGAAGCTCAGGCAGAAGGTCACTTGAACCCAACATTAAAAGCCAGCCTGTACAATATAGAATCTGTCTCTTAAAAAAGAGAGAGAGAGAGAGAGAGAGAGAGAGAGAGAGAGAGAGAGAGAGAGAAGCAGAAACTGTATGCAGATAATGAAAATTGAAGAAATGGAGATCATCACAATTTTCAGTTTTCAGGTGCATGTAATCTATTAATGAGTCTGAAAAATACTTTAACCATTATTCATCCCTTTATGAACAGGCAAGAAGGCACAATGGAGGGGAGCTCTGTGACTGTAAGCCATGTGGAGAATTTATCAGTGGACGTACTTGCCTTACATCACACATGAGAATGCAAAATACAGGGACCACTTCTGATTGTGATCAACATAGAATAGACTTCTTTCCTTTGCACAAGAGAACCTCTCCTGAAAAGAAACTTTTTTTGAATCATTGTAGGCAAACTTTCAGCTTGCCTCCAAAAGCTGTTTACCAGAAAATATGCACTCAAGATAAACCCTTTGAGTGCAATGATGGTGGGAAAGCTTTTGTTGATCCACTACACCTTCAGGCCCATAGAAGAACTCATAATGAATACAAACTCCTTGAACTGAAGGAATACAGGATGGATTTCATTCACTCCACTAGCCTTGCTGTGTGTATACAGACACACAGTGCTGAAAAACCCTACAAGTGTAAGGAATGTGGAAAAGACTTTAGATATTCTGCATACCTAAATATTCACATGGGAACCCAAAGTGGAGATAACCCCTATGAATATAAGGAATGTGGGAAAGCCTTTACTAGGTCTTGTCAGCTTACTCAGCATAGAAAAACTCACACTGGAGAAAAACCTTATACATGAACAGAATGTGGGAAAGCTTTCACTGTTTCTTCTTGCTTAAGTCAACATGTTAAAATTCACATTGAAAACAAACCCTGTGAACGAAAGAAACATGGGATTGTTTTAAAAATGTCTTCATACCTCACTGAACATGTAAAAAAACCACACTGCAGAGAAACCTTTTGAATGTATGGTATGTGGAAAATCCTTCAGAAATTCCTCATGCCTTCATAATCACCTTCAAATTCACACTGGAACAAAACCCTTCAAATGTAAAGACTGTGGTAAAGCCTTCACGGGGCATTCTGGCCTTAGGAAACATTTACCAGCTCACACTGGAGAGAAGCCATATGAGTGCAAAGATTGTGGGAAAGCCTTTGCTAGATCCTCCCGCCTCAGCGACATAAGAACCCACACTGGAGAGAAGCCCTTTGTATGTTTCAAATGTGGGAAAGCATTTGCTGTTTCCTCAAATCTTAGTGGACATCTGAGGATTCATACAGGAGAGAAGCCCTTTGAATGCAAGGAATGTGGGAAAGTATTTACACATTCCTCCAGTCTTAATAATCACATGCGGACTCACAGTAGTCAAAAAACCATACATATGTCTACAATGTGGGAAAGCCTTTAAGTTTCCCACATGTGTTACCCTTCACATGAGAATCCACACTGGAGAAAAACCTTATGAATGTGAGCAGTGTGGGAAAACCTTCAGATATTCAAATTCATTTCAGTTACATAAAAGAATTCACAGTGGAGAGAAATCCTATGAATGTAAGGAGTGTGGGAAAGCCTTCAGTTCTCCCAGTTCCTTTCACAATCATGAATGAAGGCATGTGGAATAGAAACTGTCAATATAAGAAATGTGGGAAAGCTTTATGGTGTCCCTGTTTACTTCAAAGATTTGGGGAAAAAAGAAAACTATGAATGTAAGGAATTTGGAAATATCTTCACTCCTATTTCAGGTCTTAATGAACATGTAAGGTGTTGGGGTTTTTAGTCCTTGTTCCCTCCTGACCTGCAGGAGAGATAGGGAGAACACACCCCAGCCAGGACAAGCCAAGAAAGGAGACGGCTGACTGACCTCCCGCACCCAGCCCTCCCTTGCTGGAGGACAATCAAACGCATCAGGGAGACCAGTCAAGGCTGGAGCTCATTTATTGAGGAAGCACACACAGCTAATATAAGGCACAGGAGCCAATCAGGATAAAGATCAGCAGGGTGAGGAGAGTTCAAGTGTACACCCATTCTACAGGCAGTAAGGGGAGACACGAGCTGTCCACGAGGGCAGAAGGGTTCTGAGCCTATCCTAGAAGTGGTCCGATTTTTCATCACAACCCACGGTAATGCCTTCTGGCTGATCACCAGGTGCCATCTTAGCCATGTGCAGCCCCAAGACCAGGAAGTGAGCATCAGTCTGCAAGTTAGATTCCCTTTTCTCCATCATAGATTTCTATTTCTTTGATGTGACATGCCCTACATCTCCCCTTGCCCTACATCTCCCCCTTTTTGTTTTATTGGCGGGTGTCTGCTTTACTCGAGAGTGTGCCTGTCTTAGGTTGTCCCCCTCTGGGGATCTTACCCGTCATTGACTACCACTCTGGCTCTTCAGGCAGTTCACCGCAGGGTCAGCAGACCCAATGGGAAACCTCAAGGAAAGGAAAGGAGATGACTTAGGCCTATGAAGAAAAACCCTCTTGCCTCTGACTTACACCTGCACGTTCTGGTAGGGGCCATGGCCAACCTCATAGGGTTCCTAGTCAGTATCTTGTAAGACAGCATATCGCTGCCGGACCACCATCAATTGAACAGCTTTGGCTCGATCCTTGAGAAACTGGAGGAGCCTGTTGTTTATACAAGGTCCAAATGTAAATACAAGAATTATAGTAACCAAGGGGCCTACCAAGGGGAGAAGGTAAGGGAGCCACCCATTTAGCCCAGTCCATAGAAGGCTTGATTACAGCTCATTCTGACGGTTTTCAAGGTCCTCCTGTAACCTTTTAATCTTATCTTGAACAATACCAGAGTGATTTGCATAGAAGCAGTGCTCCTCCTGTAGGAACAGGCATAATCCTCCCTCTCTGGCGGTAAGCAGGTTCAGGCCACAACGGTTTTGGAGGACTATTGCAGCCAAGGAATTGAGATTGCAGGTCCAAGATAGTGCCGGCAACATGGTGCATATCATCTTTCATCTGCTGAGAAAGCTTATTTTACATCTGTAAAGAAGTACCAAGGCCAGCAAGACCAGTTCCTATCCCGTGGCCACCCCCAGACCCAACAGCAAAGGAACAGCATGAATGACTCTTCGGGGCCTGGAAAAGGAATAATCAACAGCAGGTATGGGCAGGGACTGGTTATTAGGGAGGACCCCAATGTTAGGGAGGAGGAGGACCACAATGCAGATCAATCCAAGTACCCGGTAGGACACTGTACGCCATATCCCCACAGAAGAAGGCAGTACCATTAGGAGGACAGAGCATACCACCTACTGATCAAAAAACCTATTGCCTCCACACCAGAAGGGATTCAACGTCCCCACATCTTGAGTGCCATTTCTAGTGAGACAGGTGACGTTAGGCATGGTCACCAAGGGCAAAAAACTTCTGAGTGGGGTGGGAGTATAGGGCATCTACTAGTAAGAGGTGAGGTTATATTCCACCAAACGGGAATGGCAGTAGCTTTTAATGGTCCATTCTTTCCCAGGTGGGGCATATAAGGACCAACAAATTGGCTTACCACCGCTTCCAGGACACTGATACCTGAATGGGACTCCTCAGTGTGGCCCATTCAGTAAGTTACACCCTTGTTAGTACATTTAGATGCTGATTTATAACAAGCAGTGTGGACCACGCCTGACTCGAATGTTGTGCCCGGGCATGTGGGGGGGCCTTGGGGTTAGAAGGAAGAACCAATTGTTTGGGCCAGCAGATGCTGTAGCCAAGAGCAGCGAGGTGACCTGAGCCAGCTTCAAAGACTTCAAGATCGTGGATTACATATGCCCCCCATAAGCCATTACCTCAATCATATTTGGTCCCGTAGCATCGACTATTGAGAAGGGCCTTAGTGACACACTGCTTGCAGGGGGAGCCAAGGATATGAAGTACGGCATCAAAGTGTGCCTCCCCAAAGCGCGTCTCCCCCAACAAACATGAATGCCATGAGGGAGACAATGAGGAGTCCCATCACAACCAGGCAAAGCATCCAGAATTGTCTTTTCATTACAAATGAGAAAATAATCATACCTCAAGAGGGGGTGCTCTTGGGTAATCATTTTTGTTCTGGTGAACAGTATTTTAGATCTCTAGTGGGTACCCAAATTGGACTTGGCTCCCCAATCGGGAATACACACCCAAATCCCCTCCCTGCACTAATGAGGGGATCAGGACCGCACCATGATCCAGTAAGGGGGTCCCTCCATCGGACCTCTACTTTCAAATAAGGTGTCTGATTAGACCAATGTCTCTGGAAAGCAGTTAGAGGTTGGTCTTTGCAAAAAATTAAAATATTTAAGGTAGACTGGAGGAGGAAGCCCGCCCCCGGCCCCCACACCAAACGGGAGGAGGAAGCCTGGCCTGGCCCTGCGCGCCAGACCGGGGGAAGCCCATCAACCCTTAAAACCCATCAACCTGGGGCATGGCTACCAGCATGGTTCTGCGGCTGATCCAGGTACCTGGTTTCCAACTCCCCCACCCTTAGCTGCAATAACTCAGAAATTTTCCCACAAGCTTTTGGGGGGTGTAGCTATCAACGCAAAACAACTGTACAGGCACCTGGTTTCCATCTCAGAGACTAGAGTAGGGAGGCTACAGGTGGAAGCTCATATCCTTTCACACTGGCTACATCCACCATCCTGAACACAGAAGCTCAAGCTAGGAATAGACAATGCCACCTACTGGAAGAAAGGAAAACAGAGTTCTGAGAGACTTTTTTTTTTTTTTTTTTGTTAACTTCTCTCTCTTTCACAACCTCAACATATGTGAAAGAACTGTGCATGAAATAGGACTTTAATAACTGAATCACCAGAATAATATAGAGGAATTGCATATGCCCCACCTCCCCCCTTTTTTTCTTATTTTCTTTTTCCCTCTCTTTTTTCTCTTTTCTTCCTTGCTATTTTTTTCTTCATTCTTACTCCCTCTATCCCACTTTCAACCCCCTAACTTTTACTATCTATATGTAGGGTAACTTTCTAAGTACAGATAGGAGGTTGAATCTATACATTCTTCCATAAATTACCAGTCTATTGGTTAGAGTTCTCCAAAGTTGCTAAGTTATATTAACCTCATACCCTCACTCCTTTCCTCCTAAGCATAACACCCTACGTCTGAAATTCAGTTTTTATATGCCACCATAAATGGTATGCCTTTTATGAAACTAATGACTATATTTTTAAATAATAATTGAAGCCAATATCCGTAGACTTAGAGTCTAACTATAAATGTATTAATAATGAAAATTTGTGCTTAGATGATGTACTATTGATATTGGGAACTGTTAACATTGTCTTTCTACACAAAAAGAGTTTTTGGAGCTATACAAGAGCAATATAAATATGTAAGTGGAAAATCATTAACACAACAGTTTCACAAAGCTGGAAAGAAACATGAGCAGTATGAAAAGACAAGGAAAGAAAGGACCACAAACAATGCAGGTCAATTCAACATTGGAAGAGGTAATATCTGCAGCAGATGGAATGTTAGATAAAGAGTTCAGGATATACATGCCTCAGATGATCTGGAGTCTCAAGGAAGACATTTAGACAGCAAAATCAGACAATGAAAGATCACTTTGACAATGAATTACATAAACAAATCCAAGAAGCAACAGATCAACTCTACAGGGAGATAGAGGTTATTAAAAAAACAAAAACAAAACAAAACAGAAATCCTGGAAATGAAGGAAACAATAAACCAAATTAAAAACTCAAATGAGAGTATTACCAGCAGAGTAGAACACTTAGAAGATAGAACATCAGACAACGAAGACAAAGTATTTCAACTTGAAAAGAATATAGACAGCTCAGTGAGAATGTTAATAAACCATGAGCAGAACATCCAAGAAATATGGGATAACATAAAGAGACCAAACTTAAGAGTTGATGCGATACAGGAGGATATAGAGGTCCAAACCAAAGGAATGAGCAATCTATTCAATGAAATAATACTAGAAAACTTCCCAAACTTGAAGAATGAAACAAATCCAAATCCTAGAAGCCTACAGGATGCCGAATGTGCAAAATCACAAAGAGATTCACACCAAGACACATTATAATGAAGATGCCCAACATCTTCATTAGATGAGAGAATCTTAAAAGCCACAAGAGAAAGGAAGCAGATTACATTTAGGGGTAAACCTGTTGGGAGTTGCCCCGGCTCCAGAGACTAACTTCCCCATCCCCCAAGAAGAGCCGTCCAATGGTGAGCCCTGCTGGCTCACATGATCCTTACCCACCAATCAGACTAGCCCTGCTGGCTCACATGATCCTGCCGTCCAATGGTGAGCCCTGCTGGCTCACATGATCCTGCTGTCCAATGGTGAGCCCTGCTGGCTCACATGACCCTTACCCACCAATCAGACTAGCCCTGCTGGCTCACATGATCCTTACCCACCAATCAAAAAGCACTGTCAAACCCTTCAACCATTAAACTGTCATAACTGTCAAACCACTCCTGGCTCTATAAATATGCAGAGCTGTTCCTCAATAAACGGGCATTTTCTCCAATGGCAAGCCTTGATCGTTCTTTCAAAACCAATCAGGATAACAGCTGATCTTTCAACACAGACTCTGAAAGCTAGAAGATCCTGGAACAACATATTTCAAATGCTGAAAGAAAATGGGTTCCAACCAAGAATCATGTATCCA